AGCTGATGCTTCTGTGTAGTAATACCTCTACCTCATGTCACTCCTACCCCTCTGGCTTTGTTACTTAACCATGCAAAATTGTGTGTTTCACCCTTGGAGTGCCAAACTGCAATTGTCTTTTTTGTTTGTTTGTTTGCTTGTTTAATATCAGTGTAGAGAACTGCAATTAAAAAAAATGGTTCTAGTAGAGACTGGCATCCTGTGTTTTCAGCTGTGGTTAATGATTAGGGGGAATCTGTGTTGACTCCTTAGTGTAAAATCAACTTGAAGAAGGAAAAAAGCCCCTTGTAAGTTGTTGTATGTTCAGCCCCCCCCCCCCCAAATGCACTTCACAACAGCCTTAGGTCCTTGAGAAAATACGAGTTGCATTCGTTACAGAGAAGGTGCCAGTGGTAGTGGCTTTAAAAGCAGTGCTGTTGAGTCACTGTCCTAGCAACTCAGTTTGTTATCAAGAGGCTCACAAAGTGGTGACCAACACTTGACATAAAAGCTAGTCCTAAAGGACCCCATGGGAGACAGCCTGATTGGGTTCCTGTGGGGACCCTCCCTCCTGTGGGGACATTTAAGGAAGCCGGGGCAGGTGGGGGCAAATATTTACCTGGATGACAAGAGGAGAGAGATGATCAGGGATTTACGAGGATGATCAGGGGACTGAAGCACCTCCCATGTGAGGACAGGATGAGAAAGTTGGGGCTGTTCAGCCTGGAGAAGAGAAGGCTGCGTGGAGACCTCATAGCAGCCTTCCAGTATCTGAAGGGGGCTTATAGGGATGCTAGGGAGAGACTCTTCATTAGAGACTGTAGTGACAGGACAAGGGGTAATGGGTTCAAACTTAAACAGGGGAAGTTTAGATTGGATATAAGGAAGAAGTTCTCTACTGTAAGGGTCATGAGGCACTGGAATGGGTTGCCCAGGGAAGTTGTGAATGCTCCATCCCTGGCGGTGTTCAAGGCCAGGTTGGACAGAGCCTTGGGTGACATGGTTTAGTGTGAGGTGTCCCTGCCCATGGCAGGGGGATTGGAACTTGGTGATCTTAAGGTCCTTTCCAACCCTAACGATTCTATGATTCTGTGATAAGGAGTGGTCAAGTTAACTGGGTTCTGATTGGGCACCTACAAGATTCTGCCTGTAAAAGTCTCTTGAAAATGGTACTTTTAGAAGCTCTGTTAATTTTAGCCCGTGTGTAGGATTTATTGAAATCTTTTAATTAATCATAAGCCAGAGGTCTCTGAGTGCTGCTCTGCAATGCTGTGCATGTTAGGCCAAGCTGTTGAGCCTGTAGAGTAGTTACTGTTGAGCCAAGGAACAAGAGAAAGAATTTTGGCCTGGTTAGGGTTACGGCACTTGATCCATGGTGTTGAAATAGAAGGAATTGCAAAAACCATTTGCATTGCCCCTTAGAATTTATCAGATTTAAACAGGTGTTTAAATCGTCGTTTCCAGGGGGCACTTTAAAGCAAATTAAAAATAAAAGCTTACAATATAATTTTCAAGAGATTGTTTGACTGAATGTTTGTAACTTCAGAAAATATTTCTGACATTGTGTCTAATACTCGCTTGAATACTGCTTGTGAGTTATCAGCAGGTTTTGCTCAGTTATGATAATGAGTATTTATCAACAGATTCATGTGCAGGTGCAGTGATCCATCATATGGAGTTGCAGAAGCAGGTATTCATAGTTGTGCATACTCTTGATTAAATGTTTTATGATTTGAGAAAAGTTTAAAGTAGCAAAATTTTTTGTTAAAACATCATCAGGAAGTTGCACAATTAGAACAAGACATCAGTCATTTTCTGCATTTCATTAGGTTACTTCTGCTTTTTACGTGAAACTGTCTTTTGAGGGCAGACCTCAAAAGCAGTTCTGCTTGGCCTAGTTCGTTACATCACTAAATGTGTGGATAACATTTGAGTAGTATTCTGACTACCATGACCTACGAGTCACACGTATCTATGCAGTAAGGGTGGGATTTGGCTCACCTGATTTTAGGGCATTAGGAGTTCAAACATAAAACTGTAAGCTTTGACTGTAAAGGGGTCTAGCTCAGCTGTGGATGCGCACACTGAGGACATCTCAGGGCTGGCAGGGTGAAACATTTGCTTGCCATGACCACCTGCACTGGACACTGGAGTGATGTAGGCCAATGTTAGAACCTCTTTTCCAGTTTTAGCTTAAAATAAAGACATTTAAAATGTTGGTGTCTGAGGTATTTCATATATAATACTGCCAAAGGATTTGATCATATTTGTGTTTTTAAGAATTTTGCCTTGATTTTCTTTTTCTTTCCCTTGTCAGTTAAGCTGTAGACACTCAATATTTTACTGTGTCTCTCTCTGAAACATCTCTCTTATAGGGATGCAGGCCTGTGAACAAATCACCACACACAGACTAGGGTGTGAGCTTAATATGCATCACCTACTGTGCAGTAACTACCCTTTCTCCCAGGATAAGTGCCCAGTAGTTTATTCCCTTTTATTAAGGGATAAGCATGTTGTATTTACTCTGGAGTAGGAGTGAACAAAAACACTACAGCTGACATACTGCAAATACACACCCTGATTTATCCTGCAGTAGTTTCTCTGTATGTCCATCTCCCAAGACACAGCAGAAATGTTGCTTATGACATTCAGGTGAGGCTTAACCAGTTTAAACAGTAACAGAACCTCTCTTCAGGTTTAGCTAAGACTATTATTGCAGCCCTTATTATTTGGGTTTTTTTTACTGTTAGTCACAAGGATTTTGATTAATTAGCTCTTTTTAGAACACACTTCAATGGTGTAAAGAGGGACCACTAAGCATAACCAACTTCTCACTTTACCTTTTGTCTCATTTCAGTGCAGTGTCTTACACTTCTTCTCAGTCTCCTTTTGTATTCGCTTTTTTTGACTTGAAACAGTGGTAGCTGCATTCTGAAATTGAAGTTAAATGTAAGAACTTACACGATACATAGGAGGTAGATGTATACTGTATATATTGCTTCCTTAATGCTAAGTTGGACCAGGTTGCTTAGGGAATAGGAAACCACAAAACTCACCTGGAATTAAAGGAATTTTTTAAAGTAATTTTCTGAATAATCACCATAAGGAAATCCCACAGGCACAGCACTGTGTGTAGTCAGCAGTCTGTCTACCAGTTAAAACCTGCAGTATTGTCTGGCAAAGTGCAATTTTAACTTGTTTCACCCTCAGTCTCAGATGAGTGATTTATCTCCTAAGAGTCCACAATGGGCTGAATTAAGATTTTGATTAATTTATTCTGTTATTCCAGTCAAACCCATTTGATTTCTGCTTTCTGACCACAGAGAAATGATGCATCACTTTAGAAATGGACCCTTAGAAGTATCATAGAACACAACATGATCACATAGTCTTTGAGGTTCAAATTTGAAGAACCAGGAAGAAAAAGAGCACTAGAAATGTGAAGTTCTTTCTAAAATTAAATCTTTCCACTCCTGGTAGGTTTCAGTTGTTCTGAGGAGGACGAAAGCCTTTCCTGCTCCAAGTGTTTGCCCTGGGCTAGTAACTGGTGACTGGTCTAGTGGCTGTTGACTACTCCAATGCATAGATAGGTGAGGCTGCCTGTACCTGCATCTGGAGACTGTATTCTTGTCCAACTAGGAGTTGCTCTTGTTCAACCTGTGGATTACAGTCAAGCTATTAGGGGGAGGGCCTTCTGTCTCCTTGGGCTGTGTAATGGCTGGAGACGTTGTACTGGAAGTTTACTGGCAGAGTAGAAAACACATTTGTTAGCAATTCACCAGGGTTAGCAACTTCAGGCCATCCTCCATCCAAATACAAGTAATGACAGTGCTGTTTCATTTGCTGCACCTTCCCTTTGTTAGTTGTGTGACTAGTGATTTTGTCTTCACGAATATTTGTTTAGTGACAAACACATTTGGAACTCCATCTCATTATTTTTTTACATCCTTGCTACAAATAACTTCTAGCGTTGGGGAGGGGGGGGGTAAAGCTAAAAAGTATGCTTTGTTCAATTTAGTAACTGCACATCTGAAAAAGAAACACTTTTTTTAAGAATTATGTGGGAGTGTTTATTGAAACTTGTTTTTTAATGATACTACGTTGAATTTCCTGTTTGCATAGATTTTGAAAGTACAGCAAATCCAACATTGAACCGAGCTTTTAATTATTTGATGGTGCAGGAAGAGTTAGATTGACAAAGTGTCTTTGTAAGGAATGTTAGATTGCTGTATGGGGTTTTGTATTTTGCAGTGTACAGCAGCTATTCACTTTTGTGTGATGTTCTTTCAGTAGCGTCTGTAGCACTAAAGAACTGCATGCTGCTCCAGGTTGCTAATAACTTTTTGTTGTACAGCCCAAATAATAGATGAGTAATTTGATTATCTGTCTCCTTAAGGTTAATTTAAATTCATTTTTACTCTGAGACTATGTATTGTTACCAGGAGCAGTTAGCAGTGAAAATAAATAAGTTTTGAAATGTAATTACGGGTCATACCTAATACTGATTTTTACTTCAGTCTTTTTAAGAAATGAAAAGACCACCTGCTTACTATCACCATTTTTAATAGCCAGTAAAAGTAATTTGGTTATAAAATACAGGATAAGTTTTCATTCTTAAAAGCTCAAATAATTAAGAATATTTTGTTAGGATTCAAATTGGGTAAAAGCATGGGAAAATGTTTTAAAATCTGTTGTAAAAAATGTTGATACCATTTATATGAGAAATAAGAAAACTAATAACTATTTAGGTTGAGAAAGAGCTTTAGTAAGGAAGAAAACGAAATCTATTTCAATCTACTCTAAATGAAATGGCCTTTTGAAAGGCCTGGTTTTGGATAAACAAGGCTACTCTGTAAATAAATAGCATGAAGATTCATCTAAAGCTAGGACAAGACTTATGTCTTGAGAGTTACGAAGCAGACCTTTTCATAAGCCTTCAAAATAAAAAGATCTGATAAAGTGGTTTCCATTTTTTCCATCTTAAGTCTGTTTAATGATATTTTTTTTTTGTTATTTGATAGAACCAAACACTGAAATAGCTTCATCTTCAAAGCCAGAAGAAAGTTTCTATGCTGACAATTACAATCCCTTCAAGGATGATGATGCCCCAGAGTACTTGAACCCATTTGATGAGCCAGATCCTGAGCCTGAAACATTTGTAACTGTAAGAGATTCTCCTCCACAACCTGCAAAAAGGAAAAATGTCAGACCAGTGGATATGAGCAAATACCTCTATGCAGATACCTCTAAAGCTGAAGAGGAAGAGCTAGATGAGTAAGTATGAGTCTTCATCTTTCAGCAGCTTTGGAAGCATTACTGGGATCCCTGACTTAATCTTGAGGTGTATTGGGTTCAACCATGGTGATCCTTAATCACCTCTTTAGGACAGACTGATCCTTAGGCAGCTCAGCAGCAGGAAATACTATACCCCCAAGCCATGCTATTCAGCGGAGCTTGATAGGTAGGAAACTGTTCTTTGCCTCACTGATAGCAAATTACTTGATAGGAAGTAAGTCTCTGTACTTTTTGGAACTTCATGCCCTGACAATTGCAAATGAGCCAAAAATAAAGGAGTAGCAGAACTTTGTCCTTCATGTCCTTTTTGCCATTATTTTTGCTACATAAAATAATAATATAATAATATAATATGGAGAAGTTTTTTTATATCGGTGCAAGATGTAAAAAGGAACTGTTTTGTAGCCCACATAGCACATTTTTGAGAGTCTCATAAAAACTGAATCTATGGGGAAGATAACTATCTGCACTTTCTTAGGATGTTCCTTTTATCATAAACACACATAAAACTTTTGTAAACTCACTGACTGCCTTGTATTATAGTATAGAAACCTAACAAGGAGTGAGAGCTTTCTGCAATAGCTGTGCAGCTTGGGAGGTTTGAAGGTATTTATATACTTACTCCTTGTTTGTGGCCATTAGTCACCAACCACACCACTCATGAGGCAGTTTATGGTGATTACATGTGAGCAATTTTACAGACAACTGTAATTAACATTTAGTTTTACCTTACTTAATGAGATTTGTCATGGCATGACATTTACATTGCTTTCATATTTCATATTAATACAGGTGTCATACCATAATCTTTAAGTTTCTCTGTTTATAGCTGTTTTCTAGGAAATTGAAAGATTCCCATGCACTCCAATAGATATATATATAAAGGATCCTGCAGGGTTTTTTTCCTTTTAAAGATCTGTGGCCATGGATTTGTTGTATTGTTTGTTCTGTGCAAGAAAAAAAAGACATTGGAGAATGGTGTCTTTGCCAGCCCCATTCAGGGACAGGTCCTGGACAAACAGCACCGGCTGCTGTGTCTTCAGAGCACAGTGTGATCAACACTGTTGATGGTCACACCAGGCATCCCTGATCATTCACTGATCACCAAAACTACAGGGGGAAAAAAATATATGTACGTTGTATGTTCAAAGACATGGGTACAGAGAACAGCAAAGATTGAGAAGAGCATAAAGAGCAGGAGCTACATGGATAGGCAAGTAAAGAATTCTCTGGGGTTTATTTATGCTCACATTTCCACCCTAAGCAAAGCTGTACAAAATGGGCTTCCAGCAATGTTAACAGGCAACCTTGTTTTTTCTTTGCAATGGACTTGTAGATTTCTCTAGCCCCTTTGTTTACAATAGCCTCATTATTATTTTAATGACCCCCCATTTGCTTTAATCCTTTGTTTTTCCCAAGGATAAAAGTACACTCCCCATAGGTGGATTCTACTTGAACATATATCTGATCTGTGTTTTCATTATAAAAGCAATGTCCCATGGAAAGATGGAAGGATAAAGAGTCAAAAAGCACTGTAAAATACATTTTTGCATCCCTTACATAAGGTTTTTTTTTTATGTCCCCGAAATAGCTTCTGAAATAGATTTTTCCCCTAAGTTACAGGAGCTCCATGTGATTAAAAAAGAGGTGGAGACCGTTTGTTAAATGTATTGGGTTAGGAGTGTGTCAAGGAGAGAACCTTTGAATCTTTATACTGAAGTACTCTGGAGGAATAAAACTCCAGTCTAGGAACACAGGATGTGTGATGCTAATAGCTACAAGCACTGTTATGCCTTACCTCATGTCATTAGTTTTGAGATTTTCCAGTAGAAAGTTTCTGCTAAGCTGTGGTACAGTGAGCCCCAAAGGAAAGATTTTCGTAGGCAGTGCCAGTTGGTAGTTCTCGTGTGCCCTAAATCATGAAGGTTTGTGTCCAGATGTGTATTGTTTCTTATCTAATGTGAATATTGATGCTTTTATTATCTATATAAGTGGCTAATCTTCTTCCAAATCCTATTAAAGTCTAGGCTTCAGTGTCAATTTGTGGCAGAGTTCCGCAAGGAAATAAGATCTTATGTGAAATGTGCTTCCTTTTGTTGGTTGTAAATAAGTTACCTTCCAATCCCATACATTATCTCTTCTGCTGGCTTATCAAAGCAACAATTAGTATTGGATTTATCTGCCGTAAACAGTTGCTGTATATCTCTAACATGTTCACCATTACTTGTCACTTGTCTGAGTTAAATGGTGCTAACTTTTTCAATCTCTCTTCATACAGAAGTCTCTTCATCTCTCTAATCATTTTCATCGCACGTCTCTGGACCCTGTTATTCCTTCTGCTATGTATCTATTTTATGATGTGTTGAGTCGGACTGAGCAGTGTACTCAAGACAAGGCTAAACAACTGTGTCATGTCACGGCATTAGAAAACTTTGCATATTATTTTGAACCTCTCTCCTGACATCTTCTCTTTTGAATCTTTTAGTTGGTTTGGGTAGTTTTTAAACAGTATTTAGGGTTGGTGTAGTGCTTTTCCCCAGGAGTGGTTTTGAACCTGATAGATGGAAAGCATGAGAAATAGAAGGCTCCTGAAAGACATTTACTGTCACTCAGAAAATATGATTTATTTTTATCGCTGCATCTTAAATGTTTCATTGGGTTTCACTTAATGCACCATTTGTCATTTTCCTCTCATATTTTGTGTGAAATGCGATGAGGTGTCATGGGAACATGGGCACATCAGTTAGCATCAGACCTTTGTCCCACTCTACTCTGGCAAGTCCCTAGTACTGATTCTGGACTTGGAGCTTACACAAAGTGCCCCAAGAGCTGAATTCTGACTCCAGTTTTGTAACTATGCTCACTCTAATCTTGGAAAAGGTACTCACCCTCACTGCGCCTCTGCACAGGGTTTACCTTGGGTAATTGGCTTAATTGAAACATATTTCACTAATGGTTACAAAGATAATGTAAGATTTCACAACACACATGAGCAAAGCATAGTCACGAACATAAGCATAACAAGGTGTTGCATGGTTCAGAGGGACTTAGATGATCCAGAACATATATTCTGCTGTAAAACCATAATCTCAAAATATACTTCCTCTGGCTAAATTCTCATACCTACCTAGAGATAAGGAGCACATTTTCTTCTTGTTAGTTTGGCCATTTGAATGTTAGTGTAAAATTCTGCTTTTGCCTTTTTGAATTTTATACATTCAAATCAAAATGGTGCGTGGCTGTCTCTTAACAAAGGACAGGACACCCTGCTAAGTGAAGTTTAATTAGTTGAAATTAACGTAGCTCACAACTTAAAGTATAATGCTTTCAGCCTTCTGATTGGTAACATCTTTTAACCCTTCTGCACTGACAGCTTTGGTTTTCCTCCTCAATAAAATGTTGATTTTTATTTCTTTTTTTCAGTTAACCAATAATGCTGATCAAAATAATTTTTTAATTGGTCAGAATAAAACTTGCTTTCAGATATTATTTGCCTCTGTGGCTTCTTATCTCAGTAATTATTGTATGGCTTCGAATAATGCTGTCTAATTGCAAAGTTTATTGGGGTGTTGTCTGTTGAAGCTGCTTGTTGCACAAGAAGCCACAAGCCACCACACTGCCAGTGACAGTCACTGACAGTGGCAGCCAGGTTAGTTTGTCAGGTTTGGGGTTTTTTTTAGTCTTATATTGGGCAGCCTAGAATGTCTTTAGGCAAATCACACTGTGTGGGTCAATTAAATAACTTTACAGGGGCAAAATGTATGGGAGCTGACCTCAGAGAAAAGTTCTTTAATGTTTTCCAGCCAGACTTTTTCTGTACTTAGTTTCTTGTATAGCTATGTGGAAGCTGTTGGACAAAACTCTGCTACATATAGCGGACATCCATGACTTCAAAATTTATAGCCTCTTCAGGCAAGAGCCACTTGTTGGGTTTTGATTAGGTTTTTTTTTCTCTCGTGTTAAACTTGATTCTTCAAAAATCTTTCTCAGCATTTGTAAGACCAGTTAAAAGCAATGCAGAGGGGAAGGTAAAAAGTGGCATATGAAAATGTGTTTAGTTTGGCTTTCAAGCAAGTTCTCTAGGAAAGAAAGGCAGTCACTTGTCTGCTCATAGCACTTCCTTCTGGTTCATGCAATAGGGTTACAATTCTTCAACATTATGCATGCAGCAGAGACAGTTCTGGAGCATAACAGTTCAAAAGGGGGTTCTTCCAAACTTTCTTACTCATTGATACGGTGGGTTTTTTCTCATACCAAATTCATTTTAACACCTTACGAATGCACCTTTTTAATTGCAAGTACATGCTGTGTCTGTTGGCTGTTCAGAGGATAACTTCTTGAACTAAAGAGAACCTTGTGCTCTTCTGTAGAATGCATTGTTCTTCAGCCTTTATCTTTTTCATCTTTATTTTCACCTCCCTTTGAACTTTCTGGTGTCTAAAGACAGCTGAGCTGGGCTGTCAGCTAAATTAGAGCTACTGAAAGCTAGGCATATTCTCCACTTCAGCCTGAATACCCTCCTTTTTCTGCTGCCTCCAATGGAAAACACCCATCCATTTCTATTTAAGTCATTAGTTTGATGTTGTCTTTAGTTTTGATTGCACTTGTGGCTTTGTGCTTGATGTGCATCAAAGTGGGAACACCTGAAAGTTGCCGTCAGTCAGCAGTTGAGTTATTTTAGTGTTAGCCTTTCCTTTCCCTTCAGTATCTCGATTTAGATCTTTTCTCTATAACAAGCAGCAGCAGATTCTCAGAACGGTTTGGAGGTTTTATGCCTGGTCTTCACTTATATGCTTCAGTAAGCTTTGCCTTTCAGAAGTAGACTTATTTTCTGCAGTGAGGATTATTAATGGCTTGCTTTTTCTCAGTGAAAAGAGGATGATGGTGAACTGTGTGAAAATAAGTTCAAAAATTGTGACCAAAAGATATATTTTCATGGTGAAAATACAAAAAACTGGGAGAAATTTGATGTTGTGTGAAAGTGAATGAATACCCTCTGGAAGAAGGTAGACTTAGATTAGATAGAATTAAGAAGTTCTCGGTGAGGGTTGTGAGGCCCTGGCCCAGGTTGCCCAGAGAAGCTGTGGCTGCCCCATCCCTGACAGTGTTCAAGGCCAGATTGGATGGGGTTTAGAACAACCTGGTCTGGTGGAAGGTGTCCCTGTCTGTGGCAGGGGGTTATAACTGAGTGAGCTTTAAGGACTCTTCCAACCCAAACCATTCTGTGTTTCTATGAATAGTTGGGTTTTCACTTTTGTGAAAAATTTTTGTGCCAAATTTTGCTAGTTCTTTAAAAACCAGGTGTAGTAGCTCATGATTCTTATCTTGAGAGGAAATTTGTAAATGGATCTAGCTAGGTAGGCTCTTGTCTAATGCTGTATGAAGTATTGTTTCCATCTAGAATTGCATTCAAGGGACTGAGGTTCTTTGTTGTGATTAGTTATGCTTTATATAACTGTATGCAGATAGATCTTTGGGAATTGCAGTGACTCAGTTACATAAACATAGTTTGAGATATATGATAAATATCATTTGCAGGGGAAGTATCGACTAGAAAGGAATTAATGTATCAGTTTCATAATTAACCATCCAGTTTTGGATTGCAAAATATGAAGAGCAAAGATTATGAATAAAGTAATTCCGTGGAAAGGAGATAAGTATCCCATAAGTATCCATAAGTATCCTTAGAAGGATGCAAAATTGCTAGCTCTTGTATGTGCAGAGTAGAAGCCATTATTACTTGACGTATTTTTCATTTCTATTTGATGTATCAAACTGATAGATAAAATTTGGAAATGCTGTGGGAGTGTTTACTTAGGGTGGAACAAATGCAGAGCTGGAACGTGAACACCAGATTTGAGAAGAATAATTCTTTGGACTGCATCTGCTTGATGGAAGATCTTTACTGTGTTTCTTGAACAGAGTTTAGTTATAAAAAGCACTTTAAAAATAGATAGATGATAGCTACTGGTATTTGTCGAGGCATACACACAAGTCAGCTGTGGTTTTCTTACACTATGCTCTTATCCAAACAGTGTTCTTGGTGTGCTGCCTGTATGCTGCAGGGTTTAAAATACACTCCATGTGGATTATATACCTATGGAAGCCGTGATTTTCAGACTTGGACAGGCAAGAGTGAGGCCTTTAAAGCCATGCTGATGTATCCATGTAAAAGTGGCCTGATTCTTTACTCTGTCCTAATGAAGTGTTCTTAATTCTATTCATTACAATACTAAACACACAGCAATTTCACTTGAATTTGTTGGTATTGATCTTATCTGTAAATGGGATCACTGATGGATAAGTAAGTATAATGGAAGAGCTAGCTTTACACAATTGATAAACCTTCTGTAATTTACAGGACTTTATAAAATTTATGGAACTTCTCACCTAGTGCAGTTTTAGCTGTTGTAATGCACTTTTCAGTCATATGAAAAAATAGTGTCTAAAATCATGTAAAGGCAAAACATATTCTTCTGTGGGATAATAAAAGCATTTTAGTCATTGTCTTCTCTAAAGGGGTCTTATTTTTTGTTTTAATTCCAAGAAGATAGCAAAGAAATGTGTTTTCCTTCTTTCAATTAGATCAAATCCATTTTATGAACCAAAATCAAGCCCTGCTTTCATTAAAGTTGCTCCGCTGCAAGAACCAGAAAAGAAGATGAAAAGAAAGGCTCCTGAACCACCAAACCTCTTGCCAAAGACAGAGACAGGCATGAGTGAGAACATGTCAGCTATTCCTGCATCGAGGGACCTTTCTTCTTCCCCTAAGGTAGGTTTTTCATACCAAAATTTCATCTTTGTTATTATTAGTACCTTTTTGTGTTTTATAGACGTTCTATTTATTTCTGCAGGTCATCTTAAAAGCTTTGCTTATACTTAATAAGGTGTTGGCTCATCTCTATTCACTTGCTGGCTCATGGGGAGAGAGCAGCAGTAGGAGCTTGTATTTTTTCTTTTAAGGATTTAATGACAACAGTAACAGCAACTGCAGTTTCAAAGAAAAGAGTCTTCTAGTAACAAATGTTACAGGACAGCTGGATATGCCATCGGGAAGGAAGAAAATCATGTTGAACAATACTTTGTCTTGATCTATTGTAATGCCTCTAAGCCTTGCCCCTGTTGAAGAGTCTGTCCCCACGTTTCTGTCATAAATCCGGGTTTTAAAAGCTTAGCACTGGATGCTGTTTATTTGTACTGGGATTTATATATATCCAATTCCATAGGTATGTCAAAGTAATATTTTAAAAAAGTCTACTTTAAGTCAGAGTAACTGTTCATTATCCACGTCTAGACTAAGCATACTTACATATGCACATGCTTCTATGTTTGTCAAGGGAAAATGAGTTACCTATGCCTCACATCACCCTCTTCAATAGAAGTTATCTTAGGATTGCAACAGCTAGTTTGTCTCTGTGAACTTCAGCTCCAGTGTTTCAGCAGTTAGCACCATTTGTGCTTTTTTACACAAAATAAGCATTTAATAGTATATCCTAATGGGCACTTTTAAAAAATGGATTTGATATATGCTGACTGCTTCTTTTGAAGGGTAGAAGGATGATGACAGAAGGCTTCCCTTCCAGTTTTATGAATTTATGCACTTTATCAGCTGTTTTGCTCTGTATTGGTGCTGCTGTACTTAAAAATTCTATGAAACTACTTGCCATAGCTATCATTTCATGGCTTAATCACTCAGCCACATTGCTGTCATGTCCTTGTCCACTCAGGCTCTGATCTAGACACTAAAACTAGTGCTTTACTACTCAGGGTAGAGAGTATGAGACTCGAAATGGAGTCTGCATCTACACACAGCAAAACCAAACCACACAGCAAGGTCACAAGCACAGTTCACAAGTTAGTATGCAAAACCACAAACAGGGAACTACGAAGTCAAAGCACAGCATTTTTAGAATGCTCTGAATTAGGGTTTGATCCTGTTCGCAGGAGTTTCTATATGAAAAATATTGCACATTATTTGATTTCTGGTGGAGTCTGGCCCTTGGGTCAAAGCAAAGTGGCCAAAGTAAAGCATTCTGGTACTACCAGGCAGAGAAAAGACCATCTGTAGATGGGATTTTATCAAGTTGCTTGATGGAGGTTGTGCCCTCATTGCTTATTGTTTGCGAGAGGCTTATTTGCAGGTCTGCATCCAAGGAAATACTTCTCTCTGCCTTATTTCATGTCTTCGTTGAGCTGAAATAATGTATTACTATTGCGTTTGGTTCTTGTAGTTTAAGTAGACTTAAGTTTCAGATTGTTTGAAAGCTGGAATTGATTAAGAAAAGGTGCAGGATTGAACTTTCTGAGAATACTGTGCAGTTATGAACATAATTCCTGTTTATTCCTGCTCTTATGCAGGGTGTTACCTTCTGAATATTTTGGTGCCTGCCTGCTTGCAGCCCACCTCTCTGCCACTGATGCTGAGGCACAGCTGAGATCAGGAAGGGTACTGAAAACTTAACATTCATTAGTGCTGTGAGGGAAGATGGAGCCCTATGCTGACCTTATCTCATACAGGAAAGCTTTGATTTTTTCTACAGGATTTTGGCACATCTGAGACCATTAGGGAAGGCTCCAAAGCAGATGCAGTGTCCTGGTTTATCATATTACAACTGGAGTGGAAAGTTTTTCTGGCTGGGCGTGTTAAAATATTGTACGGTCACTTGCAATTCAGAAAGCATTCTGTAAGCACAATCTTTTTTTCTGTACTTGTTTTGCTCTGAGGTGATCTAATGACGTTAGATCAAAAGCACTTGGAATACTTCTTGAAATGAAGAAAAGTACTGGCATTTGAAAGAAAAGAAAATGAAACAATTTCCTCACACCACAGTACAAAAGTGTGCCTAGGTAGGACTCAAACTGTTGGCACAAATAACTTGTTTATTACTCAGTAATAGGGACAACGTTTAGCAACTCTGAAAAAACTCCCATCAAAAGGTGAGGCGTTGTACAAACATGAACTTAGCACATGCCCTTATATAGGGGGAATAGTCCCATAGAGGCAAACTTAGGTAGAAGGAGGTTAAATAATGTGTCTTATTCAGTGTTTTGTCCAAGTTTGGTGTGCGCAGAAAACCTCTGCTACACCTTTGACCAGAACAAAAGTGTCCCAGCATGTTCAGTTTCCTGTCTTGGTTGGCATCATAGGAAATAGTTGTGGGAGCAGAAATGCTAATCTTAAAACCAGACAACAGGGCATGAATATTAGAACTTTAGGGAAAAGATTCCAAAAATGCTTCTTCAAATCTTTGGCAGAATATTTGGAGCTCACTTTTCCTGCACACACTGATGGTGTGTTCATCACATTTGCTGAACACAAAAAATACAAATGTTTTTATTAACATCTATGTATCAGCATGTTTATTGCTCCTGGAAGAGTATTTGACACATGACAGATTCCTGCTCAAGGTACAGGTTCCAAATACTTGAAATTATTACCCTATTTAAAAAAAAACACCAAAACATTTAGATGTTGGAAACAGCAGTGGCATCCAGGGTTTAGGAGCACTTCATAGAAGTGCAATTCTGTTTGCTGTTGAAACATCGTAGCCTGAATCCAACTTTTTACTGTTACCCAAGTAGTGGTGGAAGGTGTTTCTTGCCTGAGGGATAGCTGACCTCCCACATACTATTTTGTGTGTGTTTGTATGTTTTCTTTATAAACAGCAGTGTTTGTGATAATAAAAGGGAAACAGTGAATTTTTAGCACTTGGCAATCTTGGGTATGTCTTATTTAAGAACAGATTTAATGCATCTAAGTGAATTGCAAAAGGCCTTCTTTTAAAGGAATTGTATGGTCTTCTAACAGCTTAATACTGTTTCTAGATTTTTCTGGAATCATATCCACAACTAATTACTCCTAATATTTCTGACACCACAAAAATCAGACTCCTTCTGGTTAGCTCCTTTGTTCAGAGATGTATGTTGTACAAGATAATTCTGTGTAAAAGCTTCATGTAAAACTAGGCAGAAAATTACAGCAGCATCTTCTGATCTGGTGGTATCTAGCGTCATGCCTGGTGTCCTCAGGATACAGAGGGTACTCCAGGGTAGAGACGTGAGTTGTTGTTAACTTCCAAGAGCTCAGTGATCAGTGAACATAGAATCATAGAATGGTTTGGGTTGGAAGGAATCTTAAAGATCATCCACTTTCACTCCCCTGCCATGAGCAGGGACACCTTCCACTAGACCAGGTTGCTCAAAGCCCCCTCCAACCTGGCCTTGAACTGTGCTAGGAATGCAGCAGCCACAGGTTCTCTGGGCAACCTGTGCCAGTGCCTCACCACCCTCACAGTAAAGAATTTCTGCCTTATATCTAACCTGAACTTCCCCTTGTTTTAGTTTGAACCCATTACCCCATGTCCTATCACTACAGTCCCTAATGAAGGGTCCCTCCCTAGCATCCCTATAGGCCCCCTTCAGATACTGGAAGGCTGCAATGAGGTCTCCACACAGCTTCTCTTCTCCAGGCCGAACAGCCCTAACTTTTTTAGCCTGTCTTCATAAGGGAGGTGCTCCAGCCAGAATGTGAGATTCATAAATAAACATTAACTTTACTAGACATGAAAGTGGTAGAACTAGAGTTTGAAGCAAAGACCAGATCTCATTGTGCGAATGACATAAAAATTTACTGCCCAGACAATTATACATGATCATTGGTCAGAAAGACAAGTGATGATACCAAATACAGACAGTATTTCACTTTTGGTTTTGCCTTGAAATGATTGTTCTTAATCCCACTACTGCAGGTCTTGCCTTTATCTTCTTTCCTCCCCAAAGATGTTATTTCATTTGGTGTCCATTTAACATCCCTTACCAAATTTCAGATGTGAGAAAAGAGGTCAGAGGAGGCTGTTTCTGCCTGCCCCGAATTTGAGGGATTTAACCTACATGAGGTTGAATGAGTTCATGGGCGCTGATGATTTAGAGTCTTTCCCCTTTCATATTAATTCTGCACAGGGGACTCATCCACTTCTTTAGCTGCTTTAAGATCATCCCAGCTGCTGCCGTCTCTTCATCCATTTCCAGCATAACCTCTCTCTCTGCATTGGTCACAAAATCGTAGAGGGGTCGATGTGGGAGAGGATCTCTGGAGGTCATCTGGTTCAAACCCCCTGCTCAAGCAGGGCCACTCAGAGCCAGTTGTCCGGGACCTCGTCCAGACAACTTCTGAATATCTGCAGTGTTCATCTAATCGTTTTCAAATGTTTGCCTTCTACTGCTTCCCTGAGCAGTCAGTTTACTGTAGTAGCAAACACTTTCCAAGCCTCTTTAATGTCTTCCCTTTGAGGAGGCCCTTTCGATCACTTGGAGGTTCCCATGTCATCTGTATTAGTGAGGAAGGGGCAATTGAAGATGACTGCATCCCTCTGTAGCTCCAAAAACCAGGACAGTAGAACAAGCACAAGTGCATGTTGTGAAGAAAATTTAGTGTTTCGGTATTCCACACAAGCAGCAAGCATTTATATTGACTGCTTATGTAAGTAAGAATTCCCAGGGCTGGCCCTTAATAAAATGGGTCCCCTTTGGAGATTGAGTCACCTAACCCAACTGCCTCAGATGCCTTATTCCTAGAGTTATCTGGTTCTCTACCTTGATTGTAAAAGAGCTTAGGTAAGTTAGACTTGGCTAATTAGTTGTTAGGCATTTAAAGTTGGTGAGAATAATTGTCCCTGAATATTTACAGGCTCTTGTGTATATGGCCTAAAGAATAAACACAATTCGATATGAAAAAATGGGAATATGTTGCAAAAGCTCTTTCTCCCTTCAACA